ATATGGAGAAGATGGATTGTTTATATTCAAAAGAAGCATAGAGTGGTAGAATACAACTTAGGTTTTTAGATTTCTTTTATTTTGTTTACTCTTTCCATCTCTTTATGTAGATTAAGATATTTTGTGGAGTTAGAGATATTAGTATTTGTTTACTTATATATGAATATTATCCTGGGATTAGGTTTGGGAAGTCCGGGGGTGGGTGGGGGATTTTACTTGTTTTTGTGTTTATTTATGCTTATGATTGTAAAAAAAATAATAATAAAAAAAAAAAAGATATAATAAAAAAAAAAAAGTGCTTAAGAAACAACATGGTGATGGGTGTATCAATTATCCAAAAGCGAAATCATACATATATAACTCAGGTTAGTTCATTAAAAGTTCCCTCTCTATTTCCCTCATATAATATTACATATTCAAATTAATACATTTCTAGGTAGAGTTTAATCAATCAAATCAGTCATCAATCACATTTCAGTTATAAAAATCCAAGTCCTGTTTTTAAGCTTTACTAATTTACAGTTACCATATTCCAATTAGCCTTGAATAAACATATTATTAACACTTTGGGTATCCCTCATTTCCCTTTTCCCTAACATAATAATTCTATCTAAAATAAATATATTGTTCCAACAATAACATTCTTATATTTTCCACATATAATCTATTTCTTAATCTAATAAATCATTTATTAATACCATTTCTTCTCTTATCACAGATCCCTCTTTTTCTCCTTCTATTACAAAATAATTGTCTTTACTTCAAATAAAAATATCAGTCCAAAGGATACATTTCTATCTATTTTAAATGTATATTCTATCACTCAATCAATCTATATCTATCAATCAATCTATTATTACAAAAAAATATCCTTTTACAGAATTCACATACTCCGTTAGTTATTAAATCAGTCAAAATCTCTAAACCCATTAGATGAAATTTTGAAACACATTTTTAAATCTAACTCTAGCTTTCTTTCTGTGCCAAACCAGTTTCCATAATAAAGCTTCTGCATCATCAAACCTCAATATTTGAATAGAAGTATTTCTCGACACTTCAGACTGGTCAAAGTTCTCTTCCCTTTCTTCCAGTGTCATCTGAATGGTGTAATCAGTTTTATTCCATGTTATAATTACTAGTTGATTGTCCACATTATCACAATTTTCAGTGACTTGTGTCTGGATGTCAGTCTCTGTTGTTTTTTACAATTCAGGTAACTCAGTTAAAGTTATTCTTTGATCATCAAAATTCTCCATGGATTGTATATGGGGTTGTGTAAAATTGATTTGCTCAATAGTTTCCATGATTTCTCTCGGTGTAAGTTCATAGTTGTGTTGTAGATGTAATTCCTCCATCTCTTTAGGTTGTATATGATGTTGAGTGGAGGCCTCTTTGGGGTTACTCTGTTCCTCCTCTATTGTTCTTTGGCCTATAGTTTGATCCATTAAAATTTGAGAATAAGTTTGTGGTTCTGAGATATCATCTTTAATTTTTCTCCAAGATTTCATGTACGCCGTAGCTTCCAAGAATTTTTCCAGTATAAATTCATAATCAAGCTGTGGGTAGGAGTCCTCCATTTCAGTGGTGAAATAGTCTTTTAATCTTTTAGTGGAGGCTGTATTTAGTAAGACTCAACAAATATCCACCTCCAAAATTTCTAGTAGGCAAATTCACCACCCAGCTGTTCCAAGTTCTTTATCTTTTCCCTTTTATTATCATTTGAAGGTCAAATCCATTTTCAAATAGCAAAAGGAAATACAATTGCAATACAATTTTTGCCATTAGATGTCCTCAGTGGACTGTAAAATCTTTTTTCCAGTTAATAAAGTTTTGTCTCATTAGAAAAATAGAAAAAGAAAAACAAATATCTCCAACATAATAAATAGAATAATAATAATGTTCTATGATAGAAATTTTTTTTCAGGACCCCTAGGTATCCAAAAAATTAATTAGTCAATAAAAAGTTAACTATTTTATTTCTTTTGTGAAAGCTCTTTTTCCCAAGTACACAAACGCCGCTCTCTTAAAACAGGGAAGTAATTCAAAGGCTTTTTACAGGAAAGTAATTAGGGCGAAGAGAGGGAAGGAAGGGTCTCACCCGGATTCACCACGGTGGTTCTTTATGCTTAGCTGTTCTTCTGACTTTCAGCTGGTGCGGCTAGGTGATCGGCCATTTTACTGGCCAATCTTCTTCTCCGTCGGCCCTACGGAGCTAGCTCAGACTGCGGAAGGAGCTGCCGCCCTTCCGCAGTCGGACGAGAGCCTCCTCGACGGTGGTTGCCCCTCCAGGGCGACTTTTCGACCCGATAGGGGTCTACCGGTGGAGGGAAAGCAGCCTGCGAAGAGACAAGTCTCTCCATGCGACTGGGTGCACCGCAATCCGGAACCGGAAGCCCTAATTTTTAATTTTTAATTGCAGTATTCCAATCTAACCTTTAATATCCATACTATTTAAGTTTCGGGTAACCCAAATTTCCTTTATTTCACTACATAAAAGTTATAATATCTAAAATACACTTATTACCTACTTAAATATATTCTTATTTTATTTCATACACATTTTCTATTTCTCATCCTAGTATGTCACCACTTAATAATGGAGTATCTTTATTATCTCAAATCCATCATCTGTATTATCTGGGCTAAACAATAATTCAAAGCTATTTCCTAATAGTTAATTTCCATTTCCCTTATAAGTCTAAACCCTCAACATTAAGCCAATTAATCCCTTATTTTTTATTATTTCCCAACAATATTTAAATCTAATAATGAAATTTTCCTTCATCTCAAAATCTCCCTTTAGCCCATTAGTTGAAACTTTAGGATCCTCTCTAATAAATCAAAAGACCCCATTTTTAAACCTATATCTAGTTTTCTTTTTATGCCAACCAGGCTTCTGTACCAATGCTTTTAGATCATCAGATAGATCTCCCTTCATTCTTGTGCATATTACTTGAATTAAAGGAGACCATCTAATTGTCAATTTTCTAAAGGAACTAGCCCATTTATAATCATTAAGTTGTCGCCCTGGTGGCTCAGATCCCCATATTTGCTCTAGTATAGTTGTCTTCAATTCGATCTGGTCTTCTTCTTCCTCAGGTTTCTTCTGGTTTAAGTAGAAAGTCATGTCCAATTTTATAGTTGTTGTTTGATTGTCTAAGTTTTTAGTAAGCTGTACTTGCTGATCTTTAACGCCCTCTGTCTTGATATTACTTTCTTCCGCTTCTGTTGTTTTTTTAGTTGTAGGTTCTTTAGTTGCAATCAGGGTTTTGCTTTGTAGATTTAAGCTGGCACCTTGGTCTTTCAGTCTAGATTTAATTATCTCGGTGGCTTCCAGAATTTTTTCAAGTATAAGTTTATAATTAGCCGACATTTGTTGCTGGTCCTCCTCCATTTCTGACATAGTTATAAATAGTCCTTTAGTGGAGGCTATTTATTAAACAAGAGTCAGTTCACCTCCACAATTCCTAGAAACCAATTTCACTGCCCAGCTACTCTCTCAGCTTATAGTCTCTCTTAGATAATACCAAGGTCACATCTGGGCTGTGAGCAAGTCACTTGTCAAGAATAATAAAAATAATAGTTTGCTGTACCGAGCTTCTCCACAAGATGTCCCCGTTAGCATTGAAAGTCTTTTCCAAATCCCGGGCTAGGTTTTTATCCAATTTAAGTTCTTTTTCTTCTTTTTTACAAGTAAATAAAATAGCAAATCCCCATAAGAGTAGAAACTTTTGGGGTCCCCAAATTCCAAAAAGAAGTGTAAATCCAGTTATATTAAGTTGTTGAGTTGGTTCTTTTCAATGCTTTGTTTCCCCAGGTAGTTAAACACCGCCATTTTAGGGGGGGGGATTCCTTTCCCTCTCTCCTCACAGGGGGAAGAGTTTCAAAAAGCTTTTGACAGGAAAGTTACTTGGGGTATAGAGAAAGTAAAATCTCACCCAATTCCTCTGCGTTGCTTTCAAAGTGCTTGTTAGTAATTTTGGCCTAGCAGCTTAGTGATGGGCCATGTTGATGGCCGATCTTTTCCCCGACGGTTAGAAGAGTTGCCCCAGATCAAATGGAAGGGCTGCTGCCCTTCTGCGATCACTTGGGGGGTCCTCTTCACGCTCGCCGCCCCTCGAGGGCGACTTCCGATCCTCTTCAGGGTCCCCCGGTGGGAGAAAACCGGACGGCAGAGAGATTGCCCCGCATGTCCACCTGCACCGTGATCGCAAACCGGAAGCCCACACCAGTTTTGTTTACTGAAGTCCAATCCCATCCAGAACTAAAGATGCCAAATCCCTCATACCAGAAGAACCAAGAGCCCAAGTGATTCTGCCTTATCGGGGTTGAATTTCAACCTGTCCTCCCCCACTTTCATAGCCTCTATGCATTGGAACATGAACTTAGCAGCAGTACTTGGTTGGCCTGGGGTTGAGATGTACAACAACCATCAGCAGCATACTGATGATACTGAATATAATAACTGAAGGAGTATATTTACCCTGGATCAAAAACTCCTGGTGTGCGACACGTTGCTCCAGCACAGGACTGTAGCATCATTAGCCGGTAATTCATTTTTTCTAAAATTTCTTGATCTATTGTTTTTGCAATATTAGTTATCTGGTGTGGGTCTGCAGTCAGGTTGTAAACTTCAACAAACACCTTCATGAAAGCAAAAGCAATGCTATTAGAAATACGTACTTAATTCATCTAACAAATCATTGTGATTGATGTTTCTTCTGAATTTTAACATCTTAGTGAAGTTATTCATCAATTCAACCAGATTTTTCTTCATGAATGGAAAGACTAGATGTTGGAATATTCATGAGCAGGAAAAGTCATGTGGTAACTCAGTCAGCCAATGTGAAGAAAGTGCTACTGAGTCTGTGCAAAAGGTTATTGAGTTAGAAGCTGGGTTTCAGTTTCAGGCTCAGGTCTGTCTCTGCTGTAAGAAGTCTTCATTTATGCTATGTTGCTGTAAAGAAGAATGTATGGTATTGTAAATAATTTTATATGAATATAAAGAGTTTATTTGAATCAGCTAAATGCAGTCAACTGTGAGAGCTTCTGATTTATTTTTCACCAACAGAGAAATTAAAATTCTCTAACAGGTTATGGGCCCAGAGCT